TCCTAACTTGCATGATAACAATGCCTCAAGTGTGCAAGAGCACTCTCGGATTTTGATTGCACATAATTTATCTTATTATTTTTAATAATTTGTGATGTAGGTTATGTACCTACTATACTATACTATGCTATGTAGTACTATACTATACTATATTATATGTGCTATGTAGGTTAGGTATCATCATGTAAAATTTAAAACCAGAACCTGACTGACTTGAGACCTGGTAGTGAGGTGTACTTATCTTTGAGTCCCCCTGAGATCTTTGATACATAAAGCATTAGACGCGATGAGAAAGATAATATGATCATACATAATCATCCCGTAAAAATACACTGATTGACACGAGCTTCTTCCGTTGTTGGATTTGTTTGGCAGATGGATCGACGACCGCAGCACCAGACGTCTGGCACATTTGCCAATACTCACCGGTCTGGATATTTTATATCTTCCACAAACGAAATGGATTATTACATCTATTGGAAATTTGGAAGCCATTACATTTTTCGGGTGTTTCCCGTAATCCCATCTTACGATTATCACAGCACAAAATCAAGTGACATATTAGGCCTTATAGCTAAAACACAACACTACAATTTGCATGACATGATGTACGCATTGCTTTGCGAGCTAATTATCGAGTTGATAGACCTGCAAGCATATCAATGAATAAATTGTCTTTCAACTTCACTAAACCTAACCAACTAAAAAAAGTTATGGGCTTTTTTATATTATATATACACGACATGATATTCAGAGGACCAATTCACCTTTGTAATTTAGTGTACAAGTCTGAAAAGGTTACAATCTAGCAAGATCTAGATCAGGGATTCCCAAACTATTTTGGCCAAGAGGCCTTTTCCAAAATGAATTGATACCTCAGACCCCCAAAGATAGCCAAATTATTTTAAAAATCCTAAGAGCTTTTCATCTTGTACAAACTTGTGCACGCTTATCGACTTGAGTTTTTTATAAGTACAACAATGTTAATTCCTACTAAAATATTTGTCGTTCTTATAACAAGTTGGTAGATACCTACACGTAAAACAATTTATAAACTACCTTGAAAGTTTCAAATAAGAACTAGTGTTAATTAATAGGGGTCGATTTTTAGACCTCATCAACCCCTAAAATCAGTTTTCTTTTCCCTGGGAAACCGATTTCAACCCCAAGGGGTCGATGTCTACCACTTGGGGAATCCCTGATCTAGATAACAGCTGTAATAAATATTTGACCTCTACAAACTTAATTTATGTAATATTATTTGTCCATCAGCCCCTAAAATACACTGTTGGATATCGCCATTCACATCTGATCAATCAAGTGACATAAATGTTAATTAAAATAATTTGGAGAAAAACATGTGTAAAATTTGGAGCCGCGTACAATTCAAAATTTTGTGTAATTTTGGGAGCATTTACCATTTTATGGGATTTAGGTATTAAATGCAGGATATCCATATTTCAAAAGTGGGAGATGTCTGGCCTCTCTGTCTATCAAGCGTGGAAATTATAGCAAATATTCTCAGCCGTGGGAATCACATAAAAGCTTTGCTTGATGAAGCTTTGAAAAAAAAATGGAATATGGTTGTAAATATCAATACAAAAATTATGAAACAAAACGTCAACGAACTAAAGCGCATAATATACTATGATCAGCTTTTTTAAGTCCTCAGCTTAACAAAGTCTTTTGCAACAATGCCTCGGCTGGCAAGTAGCTGAAGATTTGCCCGGACTCCACACATAAGTGTGACTAGTAGAAATACGAGGTAATGCTACTTCCTATCTCTATGAAGATTTAATGCAGCACTTTGTGATTAATCTTTCGCCATTGGTTGATCATCATGATGTATACCATTAATTGCAAATTCCTATCTTACAAGCCAAGTATGATAGGATCCCAAAACAATTTGTATTCGATAAGAAGTACAGGATACAATTGAAGGAAACTGACCATCTGGAAGGATTGGGTCAAAGAGAGCTCAAAGTTTTTATGGATGGTTCTAAGACAAATGAAGGTGTGGGATCTGGGACTTTCTCTGAAGACCTTAATATCCACATATGCACACCGCTGGGTACCCACCACAGTCTTCCAGGCGGAATGCATGGGTATCATCCAAGCGGCTACAGCAATAGATGCTACTAAGGTGAAAGACTTCTCCATCAGAATACTGGCCGACTGTATGGCGGTACTACAAGCTCTGAGTTGCAATGTGACGAACTCGGGACTGATACAAATGCCATCAACGATTGAATGAGGTATGTAAGCACAACAATGTGACTCTGCAATGGATCAAGGGACACAGTGGATCTAGAGGCAACGATGCAGCAGATGAACTGGCCAGAAGGGGATCAGCTCTGGCAACTACAGGGCCCGAACCAATAATATCAATCCCCTTTGGCTACGTTGGTTCACTGGTACGTAGATACTTCAATAATTTACACCCTCAGCTTTGGAAAAATTTAGTAGACTGTAGACAAGCTAGGGAGACCCTGCCTGAAATAAACAGTCGTCTAACCAAGGTTCTGATGAGACTGAACAAGCCACAGATCGGGATAGTAACAACTGCTATCACAGGATATGGCTCTTTTAACAAACATTTGTTCACCATAGGTGTTACTGATAGCCCCTGTGCAGGGCTTGCATGGAGAAATAAACGGCGGCTCACGAGTTGCTGACATGTCCAGAAGTCGCTTATACAGGGCTAAACATCTCGGCACGCCGGGATCGCTCCCCAAAGTTGCTTGCAACATCAAAGGACTGTTGAACTTCTTGGGGGAAATATCATGGCTCGAATAACCACATATTCCTGCCCACACGCAAAATACGCGCTTAGACGTGGAATTGCGGAAAACAGCCCGTCGTAAACTAACTAACTAATTGCAAATTGTGCCATCAGTGTGCACCATGTGCAGGTGAGGTGGACATTTCTCTTATACCGACTGAGTAAGTAAGAACTAGAGCAAACTATAAGATGATAAGGAGATGAATACACCATAGGCAATAATCAGTCTAGAAATAGCATGCTGGGTGCTGGCACTGCTTTGTTGTGAACTACCTTCAGTCCAGTGTTGTGGAATACCCTTGTATAGAGAGCCAGCATAATAACATTCTGGCATTCCATCTTAGTCCTCGGAGGTGACAACACATGTGTAGTGCCTACTAAGTAAGTAGGATTTGCAATAGCCACTTACCATCAGGTGGACTGTTAGTTCATTTTATTAAAAAAAAGTTTCGTTTTATAAAAAGCAGTTCTGCAACTGGACCTCAAGTGTAGTCTGAAGCAATAGACTATATGCATCACATAACTGAGCAATTTAACCTTCGGCAGGCAACACTTTTTTGCATACACAAATGGCAACAGGGGTGACGTATCACCCCATATTTTTTAAATTCAAATTAAACTGCAATGTTTGAGAGAACCAAAGTTATTTATTATGAGATCAATCACTTATATAATTTGGAATATGAAAATAGTGTTTATTAGAGCACCGATAATTTGGTATTTTTTTTGCATTAAATGCAGATCAAGCAAATATCTTCGCGAAGTTCAGAGCAAGCGTGCTGAAGATATTTTTTGCCAAGTGTTTAATATTTTGTCCCGTTTTCTTGGACACCATGCACATCTTGCTTGTTTCTGCAACTTTGCACTGGGCTTACCTTCAGGAGGGTCTCGGGTTATATTTTTATATATCTCATAAAATCTCTCTCCTATATCTGTAAACCTAATTTATTTAAACAACTGCTTGGGAACATGTTGGCAGGAGTGTTCTAATGTTTAGTGTCAATATAAAGCAACATAGAATTGACACCAGCCTGATCCAGCATACCATAGAATTATCAAAGCGGCCTACGTCTGGTATTGCTAGCCGAACTATATGGATACACTATTTTGTTGAAAGTACTAGACTCCACATTTAACACAAAATTAAGTTTGATAATTAATTATATTTACAAGCAGAAAATATTCAGAAGGTATGTATGACTTGTCTAATTGACTATGCACAGAAATGTTTTTACTATAGTAAGGTCCTCATAAAAAATCACAGATCATTATACAAAGGTTAGATTAATAATATATCTGATATATTTTTTGCACTGGTTTATTTTTACTTTGATTTCTACAGGGAATTTTTCTAAAGAGTTTTGTGCACAATTTAAACAATACATCTTTTTATAAAATATGCTACAATCTTTGCTTATGCAAATGGGTCTATCACATATTGCACAATCTGAGCCTAACATAAGAATTTCTCCTTTTCCAGTAGGGCTAAATGGATCTTTCATCACATAACTTGGATATTTAAGTACTATATTACGCGAGAATGGTGGCTTTGTTCCTTTGTAATGTGCTTTTTCACTCAAGCTACACGATGTACATGTAAATTCATAACCAACTTCTGTACTATCCACATTTAATTTTTTATCACCCATTTCCTGAAATAAAAATAATGCATGTAATATGCAGTATCAAGTAATAACTTTAATTATCCTTTTAATTAAAATTATCTAAGTTTTCTATTTATTGCATTTTTCTAGATAATCAAAGAAGTATTTAACTATGCAGGACATCATCATTATGGTTGTCACATATAAACAAGATATTAACAGGTTTGAGTATTGTTAATTACCTTGTTATAGAATACAATAAACAATAGTAAATAGCAAAATATTACTGTGTATGTCAAGCTACTTATAACAAAAACAATAAATCAAACTAATTTTCATAGCTATGTAGCAAAACAAAAAAAAAAACAGACTAGTGTTGTGTTAATTTTTAGAATTTACATTATAGAAATCAACATAAAGTCAATATGTTGTATTGTACAAAATACTAGCTGGATCTAAGATTTGAACCCATTAACCCACCGATTACTAGCAGTGAGCAACTGACTGCTGAGCAATAGGACATCAACAAGTTTGTACAAATGATACATACACTACCACATATTGTAATTTATTGTATAGTGCAGTTCTGTAGATATTTTTCTCATTTAACGTAATTAGTTTTTTTCTTTTTTCACAGTAACCTCTCTTGGAGCTTCAATAGGCCACCAGGAAGGTTTTAAAACTTCAGCTTCATAGTCTCCAACTTTCAATATTTTGGCATCAAGGGCCTCTTTTATTCTCATTAAACCTAATCCATAATTGTGCACAGTACCCTTTAGTTTTCCCAAATTTAATTTTGGGTTGTCAGAAGAATTTACAATGGTGTCTTTCTCTATTGAATCCTTTATTTCTTTGGTAAACTTTAAAGGCATTATTCTCTTTCGAACTACACCAGTATGATGAACTCTAGCAGTTAATTCTTGTCCAATATAGCATCCTTTATGGAAACTAACACCATGAAGGTAATCACAGTTAGCCTCTAAAGGAAAGCTTGTAGCAGGTGGAAGGTCATCAGCTCCTTCACCGACACCCAATTTATATCTTAAATATTTATAACCATCTTCACTATTGCTTATTGATAAATTACTTCCAAATATATCTATCAATTGAGATTCATTTAAAGATACTGGTGATATTATTCTATATCCAAGTTCAACAAGTCTGGGATCTTTATAAATATGTACACCTTTTTCTTCGATATTAGGAACTGTAGAAGATATTAATACCCACAACATAATCTCCTCATTGACATCTTTAATTTCGAGTTGTCTCTTTAATTTATACACTTTCAAAAGTTTCTGCATAGCGTTTATCATACTAGAGTCGCATTCAATTAGAAAAGAATCATTGTCTTTCCATTTATGTATTATGGTATCATACAAAACCCTGCCTTTGTTGTTAAGAAACATGGCATACACAGATTTAGCGCCTTCTTCAAAGTGTCGCATATCATTTGTAATTAGTCCTTGCAAATATAATGAAGCATCATTGCCTTTTACATTAATTAATTTCCGACTTTTAAGAGGATACAAAACTGACTTATCTACGTGATAATCTCTATGAGAATGTCGATAAAATTGAGATAAAAAATGTTTTTTCCAAAATAAAGTCTTTACCTGGTGCAATTTCATGATACTCTTCTAACAAATATTTAATTCATAACTTTTTTTTCATAAATAATTTTATTGTATTCACTGATAATTATTTAAGTAATAAATAAAATTATCTACGACATAATTCATGTAATAACTCTGGATCACACTTTGCTTATCTTAAAAATAATTTCTATTTTCTATTCATTCTTGAACGTCAAATCCAGTGTTGCCGTATAAAGAAAAAAAGATGCACTAAACCCTTATCAAAATTGCGCTATATTTTATAAAAATCTGCTTTCCGAAATCCACCAATTCCGCTAAGACGTATCCTGTAAATTTTTAAGGAAATAAGAAAAATATGATTATTTAAAGACCTCTTAATTTATTTAAGTAATATTAACTACAAAAACCAACTAAATTAGACAATTCCACTACTTCATGGTCATCATCACCTCCAGATGGCGATAATAAGCCTTAACCTGCTTCTATTCCTTTTTTCACAGTTTTAGTAATTTGTCGAGCACATTTTCTGGTAAGTTTTTATGTATGGCAGCTATATTTAAGATTTTTTTTATTGATGATATATCTGTAGACATTATATTTGAATTCACTGTTTCAGCTGACATCCGCTTACGTAGCTTAATTTGGACAATGTTCATATCGTCTAAAATCCGCTATACTTCAGCGTTTGAACGTGGAAGCGCACGCACGCTGATAGCTAAGTCCACTAATTCCCGAAAGGCATTCAACCTTGCCGCATTTTTGTATCTGGAGACTTCAGCACAAAATTTCACTACATCATCACCATCGCCTTCTCATTTAGCCAATTGAATTCGATGCTATTGCTCCTACTCAGATCTATATTTCTGGCTATAAGCCTTCTTCCTCGGCGACACTTCCATTTAAAATTTTCACGGAACAAACAAAACTGAGCTAAAAGACTAACCCGAAACTCAAAAATGAGAAAAATCAGTTCTCAGGTATTAGAGCTGGTACAGCCCTATTAATAAACACAGACTTCAAGATTAACTTTACTCCTAGTTTAAAGCTTAAAATATCTAATTTCAGTATTAAGACGAGGTCTTAGCACGATTTCAAATTTGTTTTTCACCCGCTCGTCCCGCAGTGGGTGGAGCGCAACCGGCTGTCGGAGAGCGCCGCGTGAACATAGCTGTTGCGCAAAGCAAGCAGACAATTCAAACACTTTTCCGTGAGGTCTACTGTTCTCAACACTACTAGGTAGTTATAGTAATAATATTTTGAGTACCTACTCACTAATATCAAAACTGTTTACAATATCGGTAGTCTGGACATCATACGACATTTTAATTATCAATATTTTTTTTAAAGTCAGTTTTATGATATGAGCAGGTACTTAGATTATTATTTATTATTTACATACATAAACATTTAAAACGCCAACTCACAAATTCTAAAAAAACCCAAGTTTCGTTGGCAAAATAGCTAAAATAAGAGAAAAAGAATAGTTTCAAATAAAACCATTAGAAAATTCAAATTTATTTTACTGTTTTCTATTACCTTACCTCCGAACTTGATGGAGTGACCTGAAGGTGTACTTTGGTAATCGGTATTGGAACAGGTCGCCGAGTACTACTAAGTGTGCCGAGTTTGGTCTCGTTTTGTTAGGTATGACGAGCCCTTACATCCGGACTTGATGGAGTGACCTGAAGGTGTACTTTGGCAATCGGCATTGGAACAGGTCGCTGAGTACTAGCAGGTGTGCCGAGGTTGGGCTCGTTTTGTTAGGTATGATGAGTCCTTACCTCCGGACTTGACGGAATGACCTGAAGGTGTACTTTGGTAATCGGTATTGGAACTGGTCGCTGAGTACTACCAGGTGTGCAGAGTTTGGTCTCGTTTTGTTAGGTATGACTAGCCCTTACCTCCGGACTTAACGGAGTGACCTGAAGGTGTACTTTGGTAATCGGCATTGGAACAGGTCACCGAGTCCTTACCTCCAGACTTGACGGAGTGACCTGAAGGTGTACTTTGGTAATCGGCACTGGAACAGGTCGCCGAGTACTACTAGGTGTGCCGAGTTTGGGCTCGTTTTGTTAGGTATGACGAGCCCTTACCTCCGGACTTGATGGAGTGACCTGAAGGTGTATTTTGGTAATCGGCATTGGAACAGGTCGCCGAGTACTACTACTAGGTGTGCCGAGTTTGGGCTCGTTTTGTTAGGTATGATGAGTCCTTACCTTCGGACTTGACGGAGTGACCTGAAGGTATACTTTGCTAATCGCTATTGGAACTGGTCCCCGAGTACTACTAGGTGTGCCGAGTTTGGGCTCGTTGCCCAACTCGGCACACCTAGTAGTACTCGGTGTACTACTAGGTGTGCCGTTGCCGGTAACGTTGGGCGTGTTGAAGAATACCAAGTTACCAAGTTGAGCCCAAACTCGGCACACCTAGTAGTACTTGGCGACCAGTTGCAACAGCGATACCAAAGTTCACCTTCAGGTCACTCCTTGAAGTGCGGAGATCAGGACTCATCATACCTAACAAAACGAGCCCAAACACGGCACACCTAGTAGTACTCGGCAACCAGTTCCAATAGCGATTACCAAAGTACACCTTCAGGTCACTCCGTCAAGTCCGGAGGTAAGGACTCATCATACCTAACAAAAAGAGCCCAAACTCGGCACAACTAGTAGTACTCAGCAACCAGTTCCAATACCGATTACCAAAGTACACCTTCATGTTACTGTCAAGAACGGAGGTAAGGACTCATCATACCTAACAAAACGAGCCCAAACACGACACACCTAGTAGTACTCGGCGACCAGTTCCAATAGCGATTACCAAAGTACACCTTCAGGTCACTCCGTCAAGTCCGTCGGTAAGGACTCATCATACCTAACAAAACGAGCCCTAACTCGGCACACCTAGTAGTACTCGGCGACCAGTTCCAAAAACGATTACCAAAGTACACCTTCAGGTCACTTCGTCGAGTCCGGAGGTAAGGACTCATCATACCTAACAAAACGAGCCCAAACTCGGCACACCTAGTTCTACTAGTCCAGGTGTTCCAGTATTAGTTACTGAAGTTCACTTTCAGGTCACTCCACCAAGTCCGGAGGTAAGGTCTTATCATAACTGACAAAACCAGCCCAAAGTCCACAGCTAACTTCTCAGTGCCAGCAGAGGGCTCCCAGTGCAAAGCAGTCTCTAGAGTAGGTATTCGTATTTCGTAACTAAGTTTAATTACTCTATGTATCTAAGTATACTTTTTGAGGTGTAAGAAATCAAAAATAAATTCGATCTTTCAAATTATCAAAATAATTACACCACTGTGCGTACACTTGTGTGCGTGACTCATGTCAATGTAATAGTTCGATTCTATATCTATATCAATTTTGTAAACGCGTCCTTAAAAAATCTTAACGTAAATACTGCGGCAAAAAGAGCGACACGTCTCTACAACACCGGGCCTCGGCCGGCAGTGACTGCACAGGCATTTACACAAACATCCGTACGTATTATTTCAGAAATAAGAATATGCGATTTTAAAAAAAAAACTATTAGTTGGACTAAAAAACTAAAACACTATAACGTTAATATGTTGAATGTGTAAAAATCTGACAAAAAATCAGAATGATTGCATGTATACTAGTACGGTTTTTACTAGTTAAAAAAAATTTTAGAGGTATGTTTGTTATTTTTTTCTATCCTATTAAATTAGTGGTATCATGTTTTCGACACACTATCTAACTAGCATATATCCTGGACAATATCATATATTTTTCTGGGTTTGTTTACTGCAGTGGATCATATACTTTGAGGCATTATAAAACTTGCGTTTATAGTCATGCCTCGTCTTAATAAACATAGAGTAAGGAGGGAGTAAACTAATCCGAATCTACTCTCGGAATAAAAGTTAATCTTTGGCGGTACCTAGTTTAACGACTGAGTAAGCATGGACTAGTCGCGTATTTTGACATCTTGTAAAACTTTACGTACGTTTACATGGTTTACACGCGTTGGTAACCGTGTTAAATTCATAAGTTGTAAGCACTAGTAAGAAAAACAGCATAATGGATTAAAATACCAAGAAGTGATGTGGATCAGAACAAAGTGATTGCAGGTTTTTATTCATTATATGGATTTAGACAAGTGATTGGGGCTATTGATTGCTACATATTCTAATCCCGAAAGTCGCTGGAAACATCGAACAATACTACATAAACAGGAAAGGATACAGTTCAATAAATGTAGGTACAAGTAAGTTTTATAGCACCTAGCTAGCCCATCTTTGCCGTAAAGGTACTTAGTTATTTTCAATCTATTATTTCATATTAAAGAAGTTATGAGTGCTTTGTTCCAGGTTGTGTCAAATGCAAATTTAGAGTTCATGGATACGGTGGCACATTGGCAAGGCAGCACACATGACTCAAGAATATTTAAAGAAAGTCGCATTAAAACAAACGTTTGAGCAGTCAGAATTTAAAGGCAGACTTCTCGGTAGTACTGGGCGTTTTATTCAGAAACACTTTTAAAAACAGTTTGTCAAAGAAAAACGAATGAACAGTTTCTCGAAGATCCAACATTAGGTTTAAAAACGAACGAAATGAATACAGTTCTACATTTCATTCTCGGAACTGTCTCAATCGCAAAACGTTTACAAACTACATGCTCGTTTGGTAGGTTCATGGGTTGGATATAAGTTAATACTCTATCACTATTGCTTT